AGCCACCTCTCCCATGGAAATAGGCTTTGAATTTAGTAAAAAGTATCTCACTGGTATAGTGAGAACAAACACAAAGAAAAAAGGTGAGAGGGGAAGGAAGAGAACAGGGAGAACATCTTAAAAACTTTTCACTGGGCTGCAGCATAGAGCTGCTCATAATCTTTAAGGCCCCTGGTTTCACCTTCAGAGTCAGGAAAAGCCCCAACCAGACACTTGCTGCCTTTGCTTAGGGATTGTTTAACTGTTGGATTTCACTAAGCTGCCCTAAGGCACTGCCTTTCCTTAATCCCAGTTATTAGGGCTGGCTCCAGGCATGCCAAGGGCACAAGACTGCTGAAGCAACAGTTCCCGGTGGAGCTGCCCGGGTGACTGCAGGGCTTTCCTGGCTGCAGGCAGGGACGTGCTCCCTGACTCCCAGCCCAGCTTTCCAGCCCTCCAGCAGCAGCAAGCTGATCCCCTTTCTCTTCTCCCAGCCAGGCCTGCTTCTACCCCCTTCTTCCCTGAGCCACAGGAGCTGCCTGGCTCCAGCTGAGCACCAGCCCCTCAGCCCCAGGCAGTGATGCTCGGGTTTGCCTACTCTGCTCAGAGCCCCGGGCAGATCCTGCTGCTTTTTTTGTGCCTCTTGAAAAGGAGAACAGTAGCTCTCAGCCTCAGTTCCTGTTTAATCAGATCACACATGCATAGATGTGATAGCTAAAAGCTCAGCAATTCCTTAAAGAAAAACCTGACCCTTAGAAGTGACTGGGAAATGATCTGTTGGGTTGTCAGAGCTGTTCCCATCCCACAGGGTGCTGGATCAGGGGTGTGCTGCTGCCCCAGGGAGGTGGCTTCACTCTGCCCCCTAGCTTCTCCTCTTCCTCCTCCTCCCAGCCAGAGGTTTCACCTCTGACTTTCTGCTGGCTCTGACAGCAAGGTGTGCACTGACACCTGCTTCCCAGCAAATCCAGAGGGGGAAAGTGGCCCCTCTCCTTTTGGCAGGGGGCTGTTATCACAATCCAGGCTTTGTGGAACTCCAACCTGAAGTTTTCCCCTTTCCTTTGAACTGCAGCAGTTACTGATGGCCTCACCCCATGCATGGCTTAGGGCCTGCCTGCACTCTCAGGGGCACTCAAGGAGACTGCTGCATGGGACAGCTGTTGGAGGAACATTCCAGAGGAGAAGGGACCCAAAGCACACCGTCTGCCTGAGTCTGCTGCCTGTGGTATACTCTAGATCCAACCTCTTTGCAAGAGAAATGAGCCAGACAGTTCACCACCACGGCACTGACCTCAGAAAGGGAACTGGTCAACAGGGCCTTGTTAGAAAACAGTCCCTGAGGAAGAGCCAAGAGAGTCAAATCCTTAGGGAGAGATCAGAAGCTGTTGATGGCCACCAGGCTGGAGGTACAGGACACACCTGCTGATCAGCAAGGACTTGAGAAGGGTTATAAAGAAAAAGCTGGAAAATCAGGCAGCAGAGAGAAAAAGTTGTGATAGAAAGTAGCTATCCTTCTGGAAATCTGAAGATGTGCCCAAATGAGGAAAGAATCATAGAATCATAGAAAGGCTTGGGTTGGAAGGGTCCTTAAAGATCATCTAGTAAAGTAGAAAGATCTAGAAAGTAGAAGATCTGGCAGATGAAACGCGAAAGGCACAAGAAGCAAAGGCCAAAAAGTGGAAGAACTATTTGCAAAACAGATCATAAATTTGCCTCTGGATGACCCAAAGGCAGGAAGTCTGTCTGTCAGAGAACTGGCAGGGTACTTGGTCAGGGTCTGAAAGAAACATTTAAAGAAGGTAAGGTCATGGCAAAAAGGGTAAATTAAGCCAGAGTGTCTCTGAGGGGATGCACAGGATAGTCCCTGTGGTGGTAGAGGATGCTGTGGAACATGCAGACAAAGGACTAGAGCAGGAGGCATTCAGCAAGAGTGCAGAAGAGACTCAAGATGAAACAACCAAATTAATTTTAAACAGTGGTACGTAACCTCTCATGTTGAATCTACTTGATTACACAAGGTCTGAAATAGAAGAAATGGGACACTAGGTTTTTTGAAACATTCCTTTCAGATTAGACACCAAAAACCTCACACTGGTAGGCCTGAAATCAGCCTGTACCAGCTAGGATTACAGAAAATGTTTTAGCAAATAAGATCAGAGAACACATTAGTACATTCAATATATCATGGAAAAGTCAACATGGGTTTTCTGAAGGGAAGTAAATTATATCTCAAAAATCTTCTGGAGATGTTTAGAGGCGTCAGCAGGCCAGAAGATAGGGGAAATCTAGTTGATATTTTCTACATGGGTTTTCATAAAAGGGATTTCAACACAATCTCTTCTCAAATGACCTTGAACAGCTATGGCATAACAGGAAAGGACCTTGCACAAATAAAACAGGTTAAGAGAGATGGGGTTGTTCAGCCTGGAGAAGAGGAGGTTTCTGGGGGACCTTAGAGCCCCTTCCAGTGCCTAAAGGGGTTCCAAGAGAGCTGGAGAGGGACTTTGGATAAGGGCCTACAAGGACAGGACAAGGGGGAATGGCCTTAAGCTGAAGGAGAGTAGATTTAGCTTGGATATTAGGAAGAAATCCTTCCCTGTGAGGGTGGGGAGGCCCTGGCACAGGTTACCCAGAGAAGCTGTGACTGCCCCATCCCTGGAAGTGTCCAAGGCCAGGTTGGACGGGGCTTGGAGCAACCTGGGCTAGTGGAAGGTGTCCCTGCCCATGGCAGGGTTTGGAATGAGATGGTCTTTAAGGTCACTTCCAACCCAAACCAGTCTGTGATTCTGTGAGACAGGTGGGAATAAAGGATTGTTTCTCTCAGGGAGGGGCGATGCTGGGAACTCCTCAGTGCAGGGCAAACCAACCTGGTCCTGGGGCGAGGAATACTGCACACAGGGACCTGGAGAGTCATTTCTGCCAAGGACACACTGTCTGCCCGTGCCCAACTCCATTTTGGCTACCCCTTGGGGTATCAGTGGTGCAGAGCTCTGTGGTGCTCATGCAGTGATAACAAGTGACCCGCTGCCTGCTGCAAACCCCCAGTGTGTTTTCCTTTTGTCTAGTTGGGGAGGTGGTGGATTCAGCTTGGAGCCACAGCTCAGGAACTATTTTCTTGTACTACTATTAGGTGCAGTGCAGTGCAGTGCCACACCATAGAGAAACACAGCTCCATTTATCCCATCAGAGCCTGAAAACGTTAAGCTAATTTGAAGAGGGAACGTTTTTGTTCAGTGTGACAGGCCAAGTGGCAACAATACACATAGCATTTTGCCAGTAGCTTGGAAAACCAAACATTCTGAGAACAACCATTTGTGTCTTCAATCCAAGATAAAACATTGCTGTGAACACTCACAAGCTATCTCCTCCAGCATTGTTTGGGGCTAATCAGCACAGTTCCAGTTAAGGAGACATGGCCTTGCAAATTCATGTTTGGTTTGGGATTTGGTGCCTGTGGTAATCTGGCATATGTCACACTTTCTTCTCCAGCTCCATTTCTTAGCATTGTAATAGAAAGCAAATAATGATAATTCTGTTTCCCCATGTAAATTGTTTGTGCTGATTATAGGAATCACAAAACAAAATGAACGGCAAAACCATGCAAATCCCTACATTACAAACATACAAGCTGCATCACACCGTGGGTTTGACAGCCCTAGGCCCTTCTACAAATGTGTGAGAGCATGCTGCAAAGCTGCCTCGGGTTTGCTGATGTCCTGGTCCTGGCCAGGACAGGGTTAATTTTTAATCACCCTCTCTCTACACTTCTGTTATTAATATTGTTGCTGTTACTGCTTGTTTTCTTACCTCATTGCCATTCCCAGTAAACTGTTCTTATCTCAACCTGTGATCTTTACCTTTAGTGCCTCTTGATCCCACTGCAGGGATTCCCTCACCCCCATCCCCTGGAAGACCAACATTTCAAAGCAGAAAGCTGTTTGCATTCCCATAGGATTTGTAATAGAGCTCCTCTCCTCCCCTCCCCTCCCCTCCCCTTCCTTTCCCTTCCCTTTTTTTCTCAGGTTCCAACTGCTGTTGAGTTGGAGCCTGCACATCTTACCCGTGCATGGTGTGTTCCACTAAGATGGATTCTGAGCAAAGGCATGAAATGTACTCCTGAATGTACTTATTTTGTTTAAACTGAAAATAAATGCACGACTTCTATGTCCTGTTTTCTATCTTGAAAATAAAAAGTATCCAGGACAGACACAATGTACTCCCCAAAGTTCAAATTTATACCAGTCAGAACAAGCACAGCAGCCATCACCCTCAGAAAGGCTCGTTAAAGGAGTTACTTCCCCCCACAGGACTTGTCAATCTGATTTCACAGACAAGGAAAGTAATTATTAGAATATTTATGTTCATTTTATTTTCCCACCACAAACTAACCCCTGGAGTCACAGTCATTCAAAACATACTGTGTGATCTGGCAGCACTCCAACCCCCGCTGACTTCCCTCTGTAATTAGTACCTTTTACTTCATTGCATCCCCTCAGTCTTTGAACCTTGAGCCTCCCTGAAACCTCAGGTGCTCATTTTTAATGGGTACAGTGATGAAGAAAATTATATTCCTGACAGGAGTTATGAAGAAAGACATCAGCACCTTGTGAAAGTGCAAGCCCTACATTTGCTGGTGACTCGAGGAGGTCGAGTGGATCTACTTGTTCTGCTTATTGCTCTGTATAAAATACAGCAGAACTCTATGCAGCAGCTTTATGCAGGCAGTTTTCTGTAATAACCATTTATTAGAGCCTGCCATGTAACAGCATGCACAGAAGAACTATAGCCTAAACATTTGGCCTGAAGCGAAAACCTGATGTGTGCTGTTGTTAGAATTACCTGTACATTGCACTATTAACAAGGGCTGTTAAGTGAGATGCTCTTAAGTTCGCCTGATTCCAGCAAGAAATAACTTCCTCTAATAAAACAGACAAGAAGAACAGCAGTCTTTCTGAGCCAGGTCAGCCAGGTGTGCAGTTTACAGAAAAGATTTCACTCTGCGAGTGATATCACAGGTTACTTGAGTTTATTGAGAATTGCTGAGCTTTGTCTACAGCCCTCCAACAGCTCCACTCTCAAATAAATGCGGGGAGGCAGTGCCAGGAGATCTAACCTGTTTGTTAGGAGAAAACTCCAGTTATTCACATGTTAGCAGCACTACAAACCAATCCCAGCTACCCCAAAAATCATCTGGGAAAGTGCTAATACCAGAGCAATATGAAGAATGGATCTGCAAGTGACATTGCAGGCATGAATGGAATATTAGAGCTTAAAAAGGCAAAAAAGGTCTCTGTAAAAACTTGTCCATAGCTTCCAGGAGATTGCTCTTGAGTTCCAAGGAAAGCAGTGTCAGAAGACTCACCTTTATCCACTGTGTTCTTCCTGACTGCCAGACACCCACAGGATCTCAGATGCTTCCAACCTAAACACTGGAAGGACAGCAGCACATGAGAGAGAAAAAGAGGGAACAGAAACACATGAAGTAAGGAATATAAAAGTAAGGAACAAGTACAGAAAAAGTAAGCTAAGAAAATCAAATAATAAAATGAAAACTGAACTCATTTGCTGAATTTTTTTTCCCCACCAAGGCAGCCAGGCCACCCTGTTAAACCAGTTAGCCTGAAGGAATGACCAGTTCCTGCTGGGCATCTCTCAGGGCTCTAAAAGGGTTAAGAAATAAAGCTGCTCTTGCCATTCAGCTGAGTGGTGAGTATTTCCCAGAAATACCATGAGCTGGACACATTTCAGGCTAGCCAGTCAAAATGATAAACTTTCCATCTAAAAGCCATGTACAGCTGAAGTAGCACATCCATCTTTCCTTCATTCTGCAGACACATGATCGACAAAGCTGAAGTTTTATGTGCTGAGATCCTGCACTCAGCAAAGGTAATGGCACAATTCCCATCACAGCCACAGTTTCTTGTCATCAAGTACTTGTTACCTATAGACTGAGCCATTTCAGCCACGGAGGATGCAGAAACACTGCATAGGTTCAGACTTCTCTGCAAATTAATCATCTGGGTTCACAGAGGTGAACCACAAATCATGATTCTCCTCAATCAGGAATCTCACAAGCAAAAATTACAAATAATCAAGCTTGCCAGAATTCAGAAACCTGATCCCAAAATAAGCAGAAAATGAGAACTCACATCCAAAATACACTGTCTAAAATTGCTAATGCCAGGATCACAAAGCTTTGAGACTCCAAATCCCCCTTCCTTGTTTCTGCATCTGTTTACTCAGTTGTATTGTACCATGGGTTGTGCTCTGCTAAAAATTTCCCCCATGAGCACTGATCTGTGTAGGAGTTATGTCCCATCATAACACCATCAGCATGAGAACCACAATGGACTAGTACACAACCAACACAGCTGGAAGGAAAATTCTGTTCTAGCTGCTGGACATAGGAAAAATCCCCACGTACTCCTTAGCCAGCAGAATAGGTGGTCCTTAGTGCTCCCATGTGTGATCTCCTCAGGTGATGGCCCCACAGAAACTGGAAGGGAAAGAACTGCTGGCTGGCACAGTGCCTTCATCTTGGGCTGGGTTATGATCACAGGATGAGATCCCTATATCCTAAACCAGCTTATCTTTAAAAGAACTACATGAAAGGCAACAAACGTAATCTGAAAGAATTGTGAGAAGTATTTGACTCATTGCTGCCATTGAACTTGGAAAGTTAAAGTTGAAAACATAATTTCCTACAAATCCAAAATTAGTTGACCAGAATTCTAGACCCAATGGAGTTTAATGATGTCTCATTCTTTTAAATTAGCCTTCCAATTTGGGAAGAGAGAAGATGGTAATCTGCAGAGTAATGAAAGTAAAACATAACTTAAAGAAACACAAAGGGTACATATGATGAGACAAAAAATTCAGGGAAGGGAACATTTTGCCAAATGAGAAGGTCCACAGAGGATTTCCAGAGCCCCTCTCCTCCTTGTATTGAAAAAGTGATGGAAGAAACCATTATGCATTTGTCCCTGGGGCAAGTACTTCCTTTTCGTTGTCATTGCTTTATCTGAAAGACCTCCACCATCTGTAGGAAACTTTCAGAGAGAAAATTCACCCACGTACTTCCATGTGTATAGCCTGACCCACCGTGGTTTGTGCAGAGCCACCACAAAGCCCTTGGCTCCTCAACACTGGCAGGTCAGAGCTGGCCACACTGGGGAGCACAACACCCACACACAACTGAGAAAAACAGAGCCCTGACCAGTGCAAAGCAAGGTATACAAGGGACTGACAGTATTCTCAAGAAAACACCAGAATATATCAATTTTCTTATACTGCACATGTGCATTTATTACCCATTGCAGCCACTTGAGGATCTTAATGTCTGAGATGATTACACAAGCCATCAATCAGTGTAAATGAACTCTGGCAATATTGATGTTTCATTGGCAGGTGAAGCATCGAACCTCCAGGATGATAAGTGTTCACCACCACCTGCACTGAGCACGTGAGCACTGAGAGAGGAGGAGATTGACTTTGCAAGCATCTTGACAGAACCAGGCTGCCGCCAGCCTGTCTGTGTCCCTGACAATACTGCTGTCCCTAGGAGTTTTGGCAGTAGGTTTAACCTCTGTATTCAATATTTGGCATCAAATTTAGTGCAGCAAAATGTCCAAATTGCAAACCTTAGTGTTCTCCTTACAGACAGAAACAGAACTCGCCTCAGCCTGCTCTAGACATATTGCTTCCATAACAGCAAAATCAGAGTCTATCAGCAAAGTCTCTCTAGACAGGGAGGCTCAATCTATGACCCAAATCTGAGCAGGTATATTATTTTTGTCATTTCAGCTTTTTATCGGTCTCACTCCTACGCGCTTGAAATACTCAAATGATAAATGGACAAGTATTAATTTTCTCTGGAGACAGATCCACACACCTGGATACAAATGCATACTCACACAGCATCATCACAGACAAACAAACCTCACATCTGGATTAAGTGTGTAAGTGTGGTGGCAGTTTGTGCCTGGTGGGTTTTTAAACAGCACAAAAGCAAATTCCCTCTTACACTGCCACGAGTGTTCTGTACGATGCTGTTCTGTAGCTGTAAGAAACAACAAACTAAGAGACTATTTCATATTTTCTTTTAAAACCAAGTCAAACATAAAATGAGTATTTCTTCCAGAAGAGCTCTCTGAGTTTTAACTAATCCACTACAATAAAACAGAGGGTAAAGTTCTGTGGGAGCCTTTTGTATCTGGCAGAGTTTCTCCAGAGCCTGGGAGTGGCAGGAGAGCACATCTGGAAGATGCAAGAACAAAACAGGATATTTAGAATAAATGTTCTTGCTGACAGGAGGGATGAGCACTGCAGGCCCTCTGCACACACCAATGCAGCTCCACAGCACTTGCTTGCTGTATTTACTTGAAAAATTGAAAGAAATGGAATTTAAAGGAGATTCCATACACTAATGCTCTAGAGTGGTTTTGCAGAGAATTCGCTCAGGGCAATATCCCTGAGCCCTGTATTCCACACATATACAGGAAACATTCACTGCCATATCTAAGAATTTTCCAGCAGTATTTACGTACCATAACTGTAAGTTTTTCTGTGGACTATGGTCACCTCCAGCTCTCATGGTCACAGACTCTCCTCTAGATATGATATTTTAGAATCAAACTTTCATCATGGTAATATGAATGAAGCACATAACACAGCGTGCTGGAGAAGAGATGTGAGCTCTGGCTACACACAGGACCTTCTGCTTCTCATTCCTCATTTAAATCAACAGGAAGGGAAACTTATTTTCTAGCAGGTTTGTTCTTGTAAGATGACTCTTGCAAGTCTGTTCCCCTGAGTTTGTGGGAAAGAGACTCTCACCCGTGGAGATGATAGACAATAAAAGATTAAATCCCAAATGATAGCTGCTTTCTGTATGTCACACTGCCTGGTGCTGGCAGTGTGGGTCTCCAGGGATAAGCTAATCCTCCTCACAAAACAGTTGGAAGGTCAGGACTAGGTCTTCTGTCCAAACTGCTGCAGGCAAACTTTGCCAGCTTCTTCACTCCCATTGAGAGCTTCACATAAATTCTACTGAGGTGACTCACTGGACTGACCCTGCTCCTCCCACAGTGTGTTACCTTGATTCTGAATTTTATATACAGGTTTTAAATGTTTTATATATAGTTCTTTATATATATATCTATCTTTATATGTATATATATCTTTATATATAGTTCAAGACAACTTTGCTTGAACAGTGGGTACTGGCATTTCCATCCTGCCATTTCAGTCATCCATTAGTAAAATGAAGACAAGGTTCTGATCTGTGACCCTCAGACAATCTCCCATACAAGATTTTTAAAACAACGTGGCCTAAGATGTTGTCTTATTTTGGCAGACATGTAATAGCACCATCAAAACCATCCTGTCCCTAACAGTTCAAGCCCTGGGAGGTCCAGCAATAGGCAGCACTTGTTACTCTGCTGTCCTTTCTGGTCTAACTCTGACCCCAGTCCTAGAGAAACCTGAGTGATGCTGAACAGAGCCAAGCTTAAACAGAAACTATTGCAGATTCATCAACTCTTTGAACTTGCAAGGAGCCTTGAGAGATTTCCAAACTCCTGCTTTCAGATCAGACCTGATTTCAGACCTCAATGCAGTACCCAGACAGGAGCTGAAGACCTCCAAGTCCAGTGATGTCTTTGGTGTGCTGTGGGCTTCTGTTCTTCTGATTAATTATCCTCTAAATGAAAAACATTTTTCTTTATTTCTGGTTCTTTGCCTCAGTTTATATGCACTATCTGTTATTCTTCTGCTGTGCATCTCAGTAAAGAGCCTGACTCTCCTTCACTTGTGCCAGAAGCTGGATATCAAGTCCCCTCTAAGCAAGTCCAGTTCACTTGGCTGCTTCTTCTAGTTTTCTCCCCATCTCATTCATCCTTCAATGGCCTTGCTCCAGTTCATCAGCATCTCCCTTGTACAACAGTCATCCAAAGCTGGGTGAAGTGCTACAGAAAACTAAAACTGCAAGAACATACAGAAGCCAGGAAAAATGGAACCAATCCAAACCTTAAATATCATGTACTACAGCTACTGAACTCAAGTATCATTTAACCAATATATCCCACAGCCAGAGCGCTCACAACTGGTGCAAATGGTCCTGCTCTTTCCTGGTGTTACACAGCCATGCATCTCACCTCTGCCTGAAAATGCAGCCCCGTTCATTCTGCTAATGAGTCTGCTATGGAGGTGCTTCTGTGCTCCAGCAGATCCCTGAGAAAACCACAGAAGAAATTACTGATGAAGAAGCAGGCATCTGACTGCCTCCCAAAGACAGTGGCATCACAAGTGCTGAGATGCACTCAGCTACTTCCAGCTACAGGGGATGAAGACACCAATGACAAAACTTCATCCTAAATGTGTTAGGAGGTTATTAGTTACTTAAGATTCATCTCTATTCCCCCACTACCAGGGGCAGTTATCTAGAAACTAATCCATTGTTCCAGGTCAGGAATCTCAGTTGGTACTAGATTAAGTTGCAGGTGGAGAGAAGTAGTTAATGAGAGCATTTTTCTTGTATCTTACAAAAATCACTATCTTTCCTCAAAACAGGACATGTCATCACTCCAGCAACTGATAGACCTGAATTACAGTGGATCCAATTATTTAAATTTCATGTCACTTTTCTTCAGGAGCTCTGCAGAGTCCACTGGCAGATACAGGCTTGCTTTATGCCCAGCAAAGTACTGGTTGTTCTTGAATACTGGGTCACCTTATGAATAGCAATCATAGTCTGTGGTTTATAATCTGAACATTTTAGCAGTGATAATTTTAGATATTAGCAACTTTGTCAGAAAGAAACGAAGTAGCTGAGAAAGCCTCGGTCTCCCCAGTCCCATCAGCTCAAGTGGAGAACTGCTTGCTGGCAGGGGTTTGATCTGGTCCCAGTTTAGCAAGCATCACGTTTTAGAGTAGTAATCATTCACCTCTTGCTTGCTGTGAAGTGGGAAGTGAAGTTAGCATCATTCTCTTAACAATATGGAAGATTAAGGAGTCCTTTTCCAAATCACTGCGATAAAACACGATTGGCAGGCAGGGTGAGGATGAGAATTACAAAAAATACGTGGCACAAGAAGCAGGCTGAAGGAGCAAATTGCAGTGTTGAAGCAAGGCATGGGACTTGGCCTTGTGTTTGCTTTGGGGGAACTGTAGGAACCGTCTCCTGAGGCAGTGGGGAGCAGCTGGGTGACAGGTAAGCTCTGCAGAAACCAAACCTGAGCTACAGCTGCTCTGCCCAGAGGGGCTGGGGAGGGGGAGTGCAACTTCACCCCCTTTTCACACACCAAACAGCTCCTTCTCAGTGCTGTAGTTAAACAGCACTGAGATCATCTTAAACAGCACTGTCATCATCTCCTCTATCCACCCACTCTGTTCTCCTTAGGGAGGGCTCTGGCTTTCCTGCATCCCCCATGCAGACCTGGAACTCAGGGGACCTTCCCCAGGGCCTCACACTGGGGACATTCAGGTGGCAGGTTCCCCCCTGGGTACCCCCCCATGGCAGACAGGCTTCCAAGTCCTTGTGACGGAGGCTGGAAACTGGGCACCATCCCTGGCTTCCAGATGGCAATAACAGGAATTACAAAGTTCACTTTTCCATTAATAGATTGAACATCAGAGAAGTGCTCGGGTGAGGTTTATCTTATCTGCTCCAACAGAGCACATAACAGAGCGTGTGATGCTCTCAGACAGGGGTGCAGCCTGAGCCAAACACGAGTGACAAGGCAAAAGCAGAGCAAAGAGGTCGTTCAGCCTGCACTGCACCTCAACTGGGGTTTCATTTGGGTGGGAGGTTCTTTTAAAAATGAAAAAAAAAAAAATTTTCTTAAAAAAAAGTAGACTTTTTTCTTAAAAAAGGATAGTTTTTTCCTTAAAAAAAAAAAAAGCCAGTGTTTATATAATATAGTGTGTATGAATGTGCTCTTGTGATTTACGTTTTTACTTGCCTCAAACCCCAGGTTTTTACCTGGTGTAGCAGAAGCCCCCTCTGCCTCAGGCAGAAGTCCCTCTAACCCAAAGCAGCGAGTTACCCTCAGAGCCACAGAAAGCAGGATCACTTGGCAGAGCACCAGTCAAAGAGCTACAGATGCTCCAACTACTCCCAGGAGTCCAGTCCTTAAATCAGTCACAGAATCACTGAGGTTGGAAAAGACCTCTAAGATCACCAAGTCCAACCATCAACCCAGCACCACCATGGTCACCACTAAACCATGCCCTCCAGTGTCACATCCACCTGCTTTTAGAACACTTCCAGGGACGGTGATTCCACCACTGCCCTGGGCAGCCTGTTGTGGGCAACTCTCTCAGGGAAGGAATTCTCCCTGATATCCAATCTAAACCTCCCCTGGCACAGCTTGAGGCTGTTCCCTCTCATCCTGTCCCTTGTTCCCTGGGAGCAGAGCCCGACCACCCCCAGCTCCCCCCTCCTGTCAGGGAGTTGTGCAGAGTGAGAAGGTCCCCCCTGAGCCTCCTTTTTTTTCAGGTTGAGCCCCCCCAGCTCCCTCAGCTGCTCCTCATCAGACCCTTCCCCAGCTCCATTCCCTTCTCTGGACACACTCCAGCTCCTCAAGGTCTTTCTTGTCATGGAGGGTCCCAAAACTGACCCCAGCATTCGAGGTGTGACCCCACCAGTGCCCAGCACAGGGGACAGTCCCTGCCCTGGTCCTGCTGCCACAGCAGTGCTGGTACAAACACCATGACAATATCAGGGAAATGGCAGAGACAAAGACTATTGTGACACCATTTGTCCCCATTTGGCTTCTCATTTGCTATCTTGTCTGTGTAGAACACAAACCCTCCCAGGCACAGGCACCTCGTTCCCACACAGTGTGTAACACAGTGGGACCCTCACTCACGCCTAGGGATGTTTCCCTGTTATATTTGCATTATACAACACACCCCCTTGGGACCCGGGAACTAATAAAAGAGCAAAACCACCTCGTGATGCATTTTTAACCCATTTTGCATTTTACAAATCCCCCGCCTCCTTGGGGTTGGAGGACATCAGGGAGTTCAGATAAGAAAGGGAACCTTTCAGGTTGCCTTCTCTCCCAACAGACAATTACAATTTAACTTCCTTTTTTTTTCTGGATGGCTTCTTCTGCTGGGCATGGTGGTGATTTATATCAGGCATTAGAGCACCCTGCTCAGGAACTTGATAATCTTTCAAAAGCACCTCAGTTCATCAGCTCTGTCTGGTGGTCTGTGCGTTTGTCAATGTATTTACATTTATTTATGTATCCATATGTCTATCTATATACATAATATACACACGCTGTATACATATTGTATATATTCTATATAATATGCATGCACAAACACACAGGGCACCAGACACATAGTATATATATATATAATATAATATATATATTTATATATATTATATATATTTATATATATTATATATATTTATACATGCATTTTTTTCCCACTAATACAATACTTTCGGTGCACAATGAAATAATCATTTCAGTTAATGTGGGCAAATGAGTGGGCAGTGGACAACATCAATAAAATGTATTAAATATTTCACTAAGGCAGAGATCTTTCAGGACAGTGTTTGAGATGTATCCAGTGGCTTCCACAGAAGCACTCGAGGGTTGTTATGAGGTCTAAATATTTGCTGCAGGATGCAGTTCTAGGGTTCACATTTGAATGTCAGAAAGATTTATTGATTATAGATTTATATTTTTTCCCTTTTTTTTCAAAGTTTTTAGTTTCAAGTTTTTTGGGCTGTTGTTGTCAGTCAGTGTCTCATTCCTGTAACAGTCTGACCCTGAAGCACTCATAGCACAGATGAAATGATGGGGACGACAGCTCTGAATACGAGGACAGACAGGTTTGGTTTTTTATCATTCCAAAGCCTTCCTTCTCTAGTCGAGGGCAAGAATTTTGGCTTAGCTCTACAAAGCCATTTGGATGCCTTATTCCTATTTAAGTATCTACCATTTATCACACAGGAGCTACATATGTAAATACCTTCACAAATCCGAGATAGCTTTGCACCCCTCCATCTGTGAAACAAGGGAATCATACTTCTGGTTAATTTTTTATGAGCTTGATTTTCCTGGAAGAGTAATCCTGTAGAGTTAATGCAGTGCTTTGCTAGTTAAACAGAAACAAAGGCAAAAGCAAAAGTTTATCCAAACACCATTCTCCTGGTCAGCTTCCTCCACCCCCTCCAGGTTTAGCATCACTTGGCCCCAATGTATCCCAGCCACCCCATAAACAGCATATTTTATGGAGGAATCTACTTGGAGTGTGCCACAGGGACACTTGGGAAACGAAGATGGTCCTTTCATTAAAGGAATGAAGTCAGCATTCAGGAGTTACAGCACGCTGAATTCCCATGTGACCCCTCTCTCAGGGTAAGCTGTACTCCTGAATCCCAATCCTACTTTCAGGAGGATTAACATGGATTAAAAACTGGCAGACTGACAGCGCTCAAAGGCAGCTCAACTTGGGATTCATTAGTGGCACTGTAACTATTCCCAGTGCATCCCCTGCAACTGGGGGCTCACCAGTGGCACATCATTGCTCCCAGTGCATCCCTGCTGGAGTGGGCTCAGAACCATTTAATATTTTTACTGATGACAAAATACAAAATCATCATGGTTAGAGTTTTCTAATGGCATAAAGGGTAGCTGGTGCTCAAGACGAGAGGCAGAACACTGGTTTGGGAAGGACTCGGGGAAGTGCGGCAGAATCACCAGAGAAAAATAAAATGTCATAGATTTGCTGGAGGGGAGAGTGAGGGGGTTACCTCGTGGATGGTTATAAATAACAAAGGACAGGGACAAAACATTATCTGGCTCTTTGCTCTGATGAGCTACATCAGAGCTGGCCCAGCAGAGCCCACGCAAAGGGGTGAGACAAAACCTGCACCCATGTGGGGACCACCAGTGAGGATCAGCCAATTCTGGCTGTCAATCTGCAGCCCCATGAGGAGGAGGGAATGCTTTCCTAAAGGAAATTAGCTAAGGGAAGTCTAGCCTTGTCCGTGCCTGCATAAGCAGTGGTGATAATACTTCCTTCCACCTTACAAACCTGCCAGACCACAATTCCATGTTTCCCTGGTTAAACCACTCCATACCAATGACATTGCAATGATAGTGTTGGTGCTGAAGAGCTGGAGCTTGACAGTTTTAAATCGTACACAAAGGGTCACCCAGGTGTTACAGTTTTACTGCTAAAATAAGAATCATCTCTTGCTCTGGATTTTATTGGGAATATTGCCCCTGCCCTGCCCTAACTGGGATATCCACAGTTGCCTGCTGCTGTGGTCCTGCAGCTCCGTGACACAGATCACCTGCACCTTGCTGAACCTCATTATTTGTTGTTTACTTTCCCAGATTCCAATTTCTCTGGATTTGAGTACCAGTTTATAAAGCATTAATGTCTGTTTTCACACATGTTTGCTACAAAAAGTGAAAATAATTTTTTGTGTTGCCTTGAGTAAGGTGAGGATGTTCTCCATAACTGCAGTTCTTCACAGTCACATAGGCATATTTTAAAACAGAGCTTAATTTCTAAAGCAAATGCACAAAACCTCAAGTCACCTCAGTCTCCCACAAAAATTCAGGTGCAGAGAGCTTTTATAATGGTAATATATAGGAAAGCTGTCACCTTGTCATCTCAAGAGCCATGGTCCATCACTTTATAATCCACTCTGACATGGGCTGACAGGAAATGTCATTTCTTTACTGTTATTTGTATATTTTTAGAACAGATTGTCTCTCTGGTCTCTTGGACCAATATACTTAAAATTTTGATCCAGAGTGAGTTTCCACAAATAATAAATGGGCAGATTGTCTGGAAAAAGCTTCAGAGCATCTCAGTTCGGAAGAGCCCCCCAAGCCATAGCATTTCCCACCTGAGCCACTGCTCTGGCTCTCACGGGCAAAGACTGCTGTCCCTGACACATGCTGTTATTAGATTCTGGTTTTATCTACCTAAAATTGTCCAACTGTAATGTCTGGCTGAAGCTTCTCCTCCAGATGAAAATTTGTCGTAATTTTCTTAGAAATTCTTAACCAAATTTTAGTTCCAATGTTAGGATACAGAGAGCAGATTTATTTTTTTATTTTCATCCTATTTTTTTACAGATTTTATTCTGTTTTGGGGAGCCAAAGGTGGCACATGAGCAGCTTCATAAAATCACAGACCGGTTTGTGTTGGAAGGAATCTCAGAGACCATCTCATTCCACCCCCTGCCATGGGCAGGGACACTTTCCACTAGCCCAGGGTGCTCCAAGTCCCATCCAGCCTGGCCTTGGACACTTCCAGGGATGGGGCAGCCACAGCTTCTCTGGGCAACCTGTGCCAGGGCCTCCCCACCCTCACAGGGAAGTATTTCTTCCTAATACCCAGTGTGACACTGCCCACTCCCAGCCTACGGCCATTCCCACTTGTCCTGTCACTCCACGAACACCAAGTAAGTCACCCTGATTCCAGAGAAACACCCCTTGGTGGAACCTGACCCATCTCTGGCCAGGCCTGTCCAAACCCACAGTGCTAGGGCAAGGTCTGTGTGGTGAAGTTGGCACACATGCCAAGCCCACGGGGTCAAACAAGTCCCAGGGATTTCGATCTGCGTAACTCAGAAGAGGATTGAGCCCATGTGATACCAACGACTGCTTTAGACACTTCTTGCATGAGATGCATATTGGATTTGCTTTTATCCCTTCAAAACAGCAACAGGGAGCAATCTCTAAGGAATACAGCAAAGCATTAGTGTGCTGTGCCTGAGTGATGGCTCCATTACAGACTTACAGGAATTCATTATTATCCTAAGCCTGGTGCTTACTTCAGAAATCAGGGAAGAAGTGCTAGCATGCCACAAATTTGACACAAAATTGATCTCTCAGGCAAAAAAAAAAAAAAAAAAAAAGAGTGGCTACTACAATAGAACTGTAGTGTCAGGCTGTCCCTGGGCTAATAGAAATGGGGGGAAAATCACTGAAAATGGAGAAAATTAACTACAGAGCTATTTGCAAGCCAAGAGCAATGGAAACCTGCTGAGCCTTGGTCTCCAAACGACTCTGGGGGAGTGGGCATCCCCAGGGGCAGCTGCAGCTGCTGGAAGTCACTCCCTGCTCCTGCCTGGCAGGGCACCCCCAAATCCAGCTCCTGTGCCCTGCTCCCTGCTTGGAGACTAAGACACAACTTCAGTGACCCCTCCATCTCCTCCTGATGGAAAACCCGTGGGACACAAACACATTTTCACTACAATTGCTATTCCCAGTTTAAAACCACGTCTCTCTCTGAGAAGATGAAGAGCAGTTTGATACCAAGGCTGGGTTTTTTAATTGATGCAACAACGAAATTCTCTCAGCCCTACAAGTACATTGTGGCTGTCTTTAAGCTCAGCTTGACTTCAGCTCAGTTTGGTCCCCAAAGCTCACTTCCAAGGCCTCTGACAGCCACTGAATTTCATCCTCCTGTGGGCAACCATATACCCATCACACTTTTATTTGAAATTGGTGACAGACCCTGAAGCTACCTCAGTTTCTCATTCTGGGAGTTCTCAAACTTAACTGAAGGGAAGTAATGACTTTGCCTGGCTCAGGTGCCAACTTGAACTAAAAGACTTCTCTTCTTGCCAACATCTTGTGCCACCTTCCTGTCCTGCACATGCTGTGAGCAGTTTCCCACTCACACCTGGACACAGCAAGGCAGCTCTCTCCAGCCTTTCCTAGTACCCAATGCCCTGGCAAACAAAGCATCATTTGTTTTTTAACTACATCTTTCCTCAAAGTCTTCAGTAGCTTCAGTCTTGGTATCTGCATAGAAGCAGAGTATGATCTCATGCTTAAAGATCAACCAAAGCTATATGGTCAGATCCCCAGCTAATTTAACAGAGCTGTAACTAAATCCATCTGTTTGTACCAGCCAAGGAGCTGCCCACTGTCCATTCTAACAAATACAGATTTTTTTTTTCATGGTGGATGCTCAGTGCTTTTCATAGTCCTGCATTTCCCTGTGCAGTTTTAAATGGATTGTCACAATGAATCATTTTATTAAGCCATTTTTATTTTAACCTTTTGCCCTTTTCATGTCACGTAATGGATTTGTCACAGTCTCTAAGTGGTGCATTCAAATATAATTGCACAGATGCTCTGCAACATTGTCAATATGCTCACTTAGCAAAGGGCAGTGCCTGAAGGATATGCAAGTACATGTCTAGCATTGACTTCAAAACAGCCTGAACCCATATTGGTTAATATTTCTTCTTCAGTTGCTTTAAGGGACTGAAAAAGGGAAATATTGCCCACAAGCAAAGTGCTGACACATCACTGTTGTTCAAGACAGTCAAAATGGCACAAGATGATGAAGAGGGGAAATACTCAAATACTCTTTGCCCCAGACACGAGCTGTCTGGGACAGAAACACAAAAATAGAAATTCCCTGCCCCAGCCCCTGCCCTTGACCCACCTCACGCCCTGTGTGGTCAAAGAAAGGAGCTTCAAGGAGGGGAAGCAAATGTGATCAGAGTTACCCAGCAAGGGACAAGGAAGCAGTCTGGACTCCTTAACCACAGAGAGACACCTCTAGGAGAGTTCTGTACAGCCTCAAGGTCCCAAGGAAGGTTATGGGAGTGCTGCTCACTGCTGGACATAGAAGGTTCCAGCACAACAGCCTGAAAATAAAAAGAAATTTTCTAGCCAAGGTGGAGTTCAGCTACAGAATTCTTTGACACAGGACACTCTGGATAATAAAAAAAGATAAAATTATGCAGTGAAAAAACCCATCAGCTAAGTTCTAGGACAAAAGTCCTCTAGGTTTATTAAAGGCAGGGTGCCACTTCCAGGCTGGGATATCTGTGAGCATCAGGCAGTCACACTAATGTAGTGCACATCCATAGATCCTTCTCACCTGCTCTTGGCCATGCCTGGAAGCAGGTTCCTCACCTGGCTCTGCTGTGTGCTCTGGGCAGGTACAGGAGCTCACCTCCAAGATCTGCCTCCCTCAGCTCCACATCACTGTTGGAGAAGGGAGACTGGCACAAACACAGCCCCAGTGTGCTCCAGCACAGGGATTACTTTGTTCCATCTTTAAAGATGTTTATAATGGACATAAAGATGTGTTCCTCATTTTCACTGCCCTGCCTTATTTCATCTCGCTAAGCAGCTCCAGCATCAAACAAAAAACTCACAGCTTTGCCATCTTCTTCTCTGAAGCAGCCATGACTGTCAGTGACCAGGCATTCCATGAGCACAGGAAAAAAAGATCTGGGATTAACATTCCCTCTGCTTCACATCACCTTTAGAAGCAGTTTTACACACAGGTATGTGATTGTGCTCACCTCGTGGGGCTCAGATTTAAGAAAAAATCCTTCCCTGTGAGGGTGGGGAGGCCCTGGCACAGATTGCCCAGAGAAGCTGTGGCTGCCCCAGCCCTGGAAGTGTCCAAGGCCAGGAGCAATCTGGGCTAGTGGAAGGTGTCCCTGCCCATGGCAGGGGATTGCAATGAGATGATCATAAAGTTTCTTCCAACCCAAAAAATTCTGTGATTCAATGATTTAGCAAAAGCCCTCACTTGCTCACAACAAAGCATTGAAATGGTGGCACTAATTCTCCTAAAACCTCATTCTCTTTTTGAAAAACAGTCAAATGAACCCTGTGCACCCCCTCATAGCCAACACAGAGGCTGGAGAAGGAATAAACCAATCAAGTCCACTGAAATCTAGACATTTTATAAAAGATTAAGGTGAAATCAGTCCCATTTGCCTTTATCAAAACCTGGCCCAGATTCCCTGGTGCTGATGGTTCCCAGCAGGCACAGCAGGTAAGGACCATCCATCTCACTGTTTTCCTGTTTCTCAGCAGATTTGTCCCTGCCCAAGCCCTGATGGACCCTGTGCACAACATACCTGATCCTTTAGATACCCGTGAGCAATCTGGGGCCACAGGTACTAAAAGGTCACACATCATTTAGCAAAAACACAACTTCTGCACTGACAGTGATTGGTTTCATTTCCTGCAGTCTCAGTGCAGGAAATTGTCCAATCTGGGTCTTGTCCAAGCTCCAAAGATCACAGTGGGCTATGGAGAGCTCAGATATCGCTTGCACAGTACCAAAGGCTTCTTCAGTACCAAAGGCTCAAATGTAGGTGGAGAAGAGAGATTCCAACTGGATCCAGCTCATTTCTGGAATGCTATGACTCTCTTGAGCTGTAATTGTGTTACTCCTCACCCTGATCACTGCTCATCATGTGCAGAATTAGCCACCTGCATCCCACGTCTAGGGAAGGGAAAAAATAACTGGAGCTTGGCCCCATCTGCCTGCCCTGGCACTGCCTTTTACCCTTGCTCCTTGTTTGTGTTTTTGCCTTTGCCAGGTCGTCTTTCTACCGGTGTAATCAGCACATTTTAGCAGAACAGGAAAATTAATAGAAAAGCACCGAGACAGAATTGTGTGGGAATGGGAATAAGTACAGCTAATTGATTTGTTAATGAAAGCGTCCTGAAAGAAAGCCGGGGTTGTTTGAACCCTTAATCTGTGATTCTCAATTTAAAAAAAAAAAAAAGAAGAAAAAGATAAAAAATGGCAGACATCACTTTAACTAATTGCAGAAAAGGGATGATAGGCATGTTGGAGATAGACAGCAGCTCCTGGATAAGCAGCTGGCCAAAGGAAAGCCTCACCCAACGGCTGAGTGGAAGGACCGAGCAAGCTCTCCCAGACTCCGGAGGTTTAGCTCCCAGGCACAGCAGTATTTTGGGATCCTGCAGTGCCTGAGAGCTCAGAGCACCACAGCTTGGTTGAATTCTGCACCAGCCACGCTGAGAGCAGGTATGATTTGGCTGTGAGGCAGGCAGGGTCTGGTGCCTTGGTGTGTTTTACTTCACAATTGCAACCAGCAAAGTGGAGATGGTTTGTTGGTGCAGCTCCACAGGCCACATCCCTCATGCACAAAGAAGGTTCTTGGTTTATTGCATGGGTTTGGCACCACTTCTGAAACATGCTGATGTCAGGACATCCCACCTATAGCTACTGCACTTTTAATCCCCACTTCATTACAATTCAGTCCCCTGATTAAAATTCACCGCTGCTGCCACAACTGTATTTTTTTTATCTGGTCTTATAATGGCCAGCATATAAAATTCAGCTCTATGCAGAGCTAGAAAGGAGCTATTAGTGGCTTAAATCTTATTTATGCACTAATACGAAGGCATAAGTAGGACTAATGGGATGCTTAATCCCTGTGCTAGCCCTCTGCACAGAAGTAAGCTGAGCTCAGAAGAACAGATTTCAGGACAAAGCTTATAACTTTTATGACAAATACTGTCAGTGACTCCTATTTCTTCAGCTTTGGGAGTTCCAACTTCCTTCCAAATGAGAGAAGATGAGGAAAGACAATGAAACAAAGGTCCTGACCCTCCAGCCTGTCTATGTAGGGGAGGTTCTCCAGTCCTCTTATCGACTTTGTGGCCTCCTCTGGACTTGCTCCAACAGTTCCATGTCTTCTTTATGCTGGGGGCATCAGAAATGTATGCAGGACTCCAGGTGGGGTCTCACAAGAGCAGAGTAGAGGGGGAGAATCCCTCCCTCAACCTGCTGCCCCAGCTCCTTTGGATGCAGCACAGGATTCTGTTGGTTTCTGGGCTGTGAGTGCTCACTGCTGGCTTGTGGTGAGTTTACCATCACCCATCACCCCCAAGTCCTTCTCCACAGGGCTGTTCTCAGCCACTTCTCCACCCAGTTCCCTGTCCACTGAGTGTTCCATCCATCCAACCCATGTCCCTCCACTTTAGAGACAAGAAAGTCATGCAGGACGGGCACCTCCCCCAAGGATTTGTATTAATGAAGTCACAGCAAATGAGATACAGGTCTCCTCCTGCATTTCTTGGTGCATTTGGTTGCTAGAACAGCAATGCAAAGCAAGGAAGCCTCATAAGAAATAGGGTTTGCCTGCTAGCAGGTGACTGGAGTGGTTCATTATCCCTGGAAGTGTTCAAGGCTGGGCTGGATGGGGCTCTGAGCAACCTGGTCTAGTGGAAGGTGCCCCTGCCTATGGTAGTGGGTTGGAACGAGATGCATTTTAAGTCCCTTTCAATCCAAGCCATTCCATGATTCTATGATTCCTAAGATTAAAAGAAAAAAAAAACAACAAAGGAAGACATAAAAGGTTTCTGGAAAGTACGGTTTGTCAATTGGATATTTTCAGAGGGAAGTGATGTGGTTTCCACAGTTCCTCAATGAGATAAGCAGGCAGTTCTCAGTCATCTTTCTGCAAACATAAAACAAAGCTCGTATCCCACCTTCAAATGGACATCAGCACTCTGAACAGGAAATGGGGTGTATTACACATCCCCTCATTTATTGACCTAACTTGCATTTGAGGATAGATTTGAATTCATACTCAATAGCACCAAAAGACTTCAACCAGTGTCCTAGGCTGCTGAGGCACATAAGGGCAGACAGCCCAGACACACAGGCAAAGCAGAGGGTCCACGTTCAAAAACAGAGAGGCAAAAGGAGGAAGAGCAAGGAAAGATTAGAAGAGGTGTCACAAGTCACCAAACAGGCTGGAAATGGGTAGACACATTGGCATTCTTTAGCCTCAAACGTACTCCATGTCAACTCTCCATGTCAACTTGAGCAAAACCTGCTTAGACCTGCCTGGAGCCTTTGTGCTGTTACCAGAATTATTTATTTCCAGAGAATTTGCCTAAAACAAAGTTAACTCATAATCTAGCACTTCCTTCTCCAAAATGCTTTGAATACCTGGAATAAGCAAAAAATCTGCATGTCAAAAAAGGTGTTTCTTCTAGTTTGTAATTATAAGACAAATGGGGTATCTGTATCAGCACAGACCTTTATCTTGGTCCTGTGAAAACCAGTGAAACTCTGCTTTCTTTGGAGTACTTTTCTGAAGAATACCAACTACCCTTACCCCCAAAAAAGCATCTAACAATGCAGTAGATTGTAGGAAAGCCTAATGAAACAGGCAGTGCCTGTGCTTCCTAGCCTAACTCATACTGACGTGAGATATATTTGGTGATACAGACTGATTTCAGTAGCGTGGCTTAGAGATAAAAAGAGGCATTATTAACAGTGGTGATGATGATAACATGAGGGAAACCAAATCTCTTGTCTAACAGTTTGCCACAAGGTTCTGAATATTCAGTAACTATTTTAAATATGAATGCATTGCTCCAGTTCAAGTTTACCCCTAAGATGTCTGCTCAGAGCCAGCTATAAAAATAAAAGTCATTAAAAATACAAATAAAAACCACAGGTAAGAAGTCTCTAGTATAGATATTTGGTTTATGTGAAGAAAACTACAGGAATATTGTTCCTGCCATATCTGTCCTGCAGTAATCCCTTCCCGCTCTTCCACACTGGCACGTAGTACAAAAGATGAAACTGAGTTTTCTTGCATGTATAAATATAGCAGATGCTGTTGGCAGGAACTGGTCTTTGCTTGATTAGAGGACAGAGAAAGATCAGATCTTCTTCCTTCTGCAGTGTTGTTAAAGCAAAAATCAATACAAAGAAAGAGAAGCACGTTACCCAGGTGGGGAGCACCAGACTCCCCAGAGCTCTGCCACAGCCCCTCCTGCAGCACTGGCTCTGCTGAGGAGAGGGAATGAGGATTAAATGCAAAAAATCATATCTGAGTTGCTAAAGCCTGAAATCTGGGTTCCCGCATGGGGAGCAGACCTACTGAGAAAGAGGGGGCAATTTCTCCCCCTGCCACATTCATTTTTCAGAGCACAGCTGCACTGTCAAGGAAAGAAAAACGATACAAAAAAGAACTCAACTTTCATTGCGCCCTCCACTACAACATCTGCTCCACTGCTGAAGGTCTGAGATGGGTGACGAGTTAATAACTTCCATCATCAAGTCTGGTTTGCCACATCTGCTGGATGAGGAAGCCCCATCCCTATTGTTTGCTTGTACCAGAAAGGGCAGGCAGAGATTGTAGAGTGGTGCTCTGTAACTCACCACCTGAGAAGGTGAGAGGAACCTCACAAACCCCTCCAGAACTGCCTGAAGAACCAGGTCCGTGGGGTTCAAGCCAAAAGCAGGGGCAGCCTTTGGTGGGCAATTCACGGCAGGTTCTGCACCTCCACACTGGGATGACACTGCACAGCCAGGCAAGGGAGGGATGCTGACACAAGGCTGTCCTGGACAACACTGAGAGGCAGAGTTTATTCCTTTGTGTTTTAATAGTTCTGGGTGATTGTTGTGGTTTAACCCCAGCCGGCAACTCAGCCCCACATGGCCTCTCACTCAACCCCCAGCAGGATGGGGGAGTGAACTGGAGGGGTAAAACTGAGACAACTCACAGAGGTAAACACAGTTTAACAGGGAAGGCAAAAGCTGTGCACATGAGCAAAGCAATACAAGGAATTCATTCCCACTTCCCATGGGCAGGCAGGTGTTCAGCCATGCCCAGGACAGCAGGGTTCCATCAGGTGACTTGGCAAGACAAATGTTATCGCTCTGAACGTCCCCTCCTTCCTCCCTCTTCCCCTCACTTTATACACTGAGTATAACGTTCTGTTATATGGAACATCCCTTTGGTCAGTTCAGGGCAGCTGTCCTGGCCATGCTCCACCCCAGCTTCTTATCTGCCAGCTCACTGGCAGTGCATGGAAAACAAAAAAGTCCTTGGCTTAGGGTAAGTACGACTTAGCATCAACTAAAACATCACTGTGTTATCAGCATCATTCTTATACTAAATTCAAAACACAGCACTGTGCCAGCTCTGTTTTGAATTTAACTCTGTACCAGCCAAAACAAGGACACTGACCCACTTTCCAAAAAAAAACCCTGACATGACAGAATCATAGAATTGATTAGATTGAAAAAGATCATAGAGTCCAGCAGTAAACCCAACACTGCCAAGCCCACCACCAAACCATATCCCCAAGTGCCACATCTACATGCCTGTAAACCCCTAGAGGTGGTGACTCCATCACTGCCCTGGGTAGCCAGTTATTTTGAACCAACCGGGGCCAGCAAGTGTCTGCTGTGAGTGCTGGGAAGGAGGTGACAAAATTTCCATGTTAGTGCTGCAGAGAATAAGAAATAAAACCTAAAATCCATGAAACTCACATGCTTACAGAAAGATAGGGAGGTGAGCTCTTACTGGTCATTTCACAGACGTTTAAGTCCGGAGTTGCACTGAAGCATCAGAAACAATGAATTATGTTATCCCTTTACCCATCAGCATTTTTTTCCCCTCTTGGTGTTATGCTCCCCCTTGGGCTTGTTCACTAAAATAAACTCATATTCCCCAGAGCAAAATGGGACTTACTTTCTTACTGAGCAACTCCAAAGTAGGGGAAGACTCACTACAACACGTCAATGAGGAAAGTGAGGGGTTTCTGTATCTTTTTAAAAGAAAAAAAATAAGGAAAAAGGAAGTGCTCAAGGCTTACCTCATCAGAACTTTGGAAATTAAGAAGAGTAAGAACTACTTGGGAGTTTTCAGGATTTATTTAAGCCACACTTCACTCCTCCACCTGGCTCTGACCATAGGCTGGGAATTCTATTGATTGAGAACATTTATCCCTAGAGTTAAGCCCCCACTTTGCTGGGCTGGGGAACTTCGAACATGCAATGACATGCAATGTTGTATTTCACAAAGGAAAAATACGTCTGAAGAGAGGTCAAAAGGAATTTTATCGCAGGATTTCGAAGCAGCCAGGATAAGGTTTCCAACTGTGAAACTACAAGTAAGGGAAATACCTCCATTTCCCCCATTTCA